TTAGAAATCATGAAACTTTTTGATTATGAGAAACTTGAAAAGCAATGATCTTTTTAAGAAAGAATAAAACAAGACGATTCTTTTGACCGATAATAAAAACAATGACGCATTTTGGACAGCATTGAAAACAATAAAGCCTTTTGAGCAACAAACATTGAAGCCTTTCAGGCTACATGAACTTTCTGTCTTCTCTTCTTATGTACTAAGTCAAAATTAAAAATACAATGAATTTAAATGTTTGTCTTTTTATAAGGCAGCATTAGTCTTTACTAACCTAAAACTCCTTAATTCAGCAATAAAGAATAAAGCCTTTTTCTACGATATTAATAACAACACCCCTTCATTAGCTAATGGAAACATATTGGGCAACATTTAAAACTGCCTTTTTAACACTGAGTAGAAATGTAATTTTAAAATTAAGCACAATAGTATTTATAGAAAGTCTAATTTGGGGAATGTTATGGAATCCGCTACTTGACAGACTCATAGCAGTCATTGATTGATTGATGAACGTGGATAACGTCATCCCTTAGCAAAGGTACTCATTCTTGCACAAAAGGATCTAAATAAACATTGATCACCCTGGCAAATTTGTCAGAGCATATAAATCAAAATACCTCATCAATTGCTTCACTTCATATAGCAATGAATAATTTGGAGTTGACATCTTCAAATGAATTCTAAAATATATAGAGGAGTTCATGTCATCTCAGAAATATTTTACCTGCTGGCTATGATATGGTAGCTGGCTCAGTTTTTCATTCCAAATTAAAGTAGAAAATTAAATATCATGATTATAATAAATCAAAAAGTTCATCAATCAGCAGCCTGCACAGAGCAATCTTTAATAACTTAATATGTTCTAATGGAAAAGTGTAGGCATGAGATGCAAACTCACTATAAGCTATATATAAGATATTCAGAATTTTTGCAATGGTGAATAGATTCCAGTAGAAATAATCTTGATTTACTTCATTAAATATTCAAAATTCAGTCAAAGTGATGTCATATTTGAAATATACATGTAAAAGTACATCTAAAAATATGGTTTCGAAAATTGTTCATCTGTGAACTTTGAAAGTTAAATTTGTTTGAAAATGTGACTTCTAGTTTGGGTTGATTCCCCATATACCCCATACTGTAAAATCACAAAAAGTGAAATATCTTTTCTTGTATTGGACAGATAACATTTTCTTTTACTGGACATATTTTATACATAAGGGTTACATGAAAATTTAACCACTAAAACAGATGTAATTTAAGTTAAAGGGAACTTTCTACTATACCCACCGTGCTATCTGACCTGAACGAGCCAACTGGTGGCGAAACTGGTAACTACCTACTCGCATTTGCGTTATTTGATGAGAATGAGAATTTCATGTAATTCCAGTGTTCTTCCCAAAATATTTTACTCAAATGTTCAAAATGTTCATTTTCTCAATCTTGAATAAAATTAGTCAAAATATTCTTATTGTCTCATTTTCAAGTGGGTGCAAATCTTTTAGAAATGGAAAAATAATTAAGTCCGTGATCTGACCAGGATCCCCTTTGAGGGATTAATTATCAAGGATGCCTGGGGGAAAAGATAAAATGATTTGTGCGGGAGTTATAAGCGACTTATTACAACTTTTGAGAGAGCTTTATGCTAATGGGGGGAAACAGTAATTAGGCCTAGCTCTTTGTATCATGAAATATACTGATGAAGTCAAGTCAGGAAGGACAAGTCCATTTTACTATTAGTTCCACTTTTGAAAATACAATATTGGCTTGCTCTGAAGGCTTTATGAATTAATCAGCATTGCTTCTAAGAGATGTGGTCACTGAATGACGTCAACTTGTATATCAAGTCTTAAAAAGTATTGCAGATACGAAACACTGAAGTTTATATATCAAAAATGAAACTTCAAAACAAGATAGTACTATAATGATCTGCATACTTGAAGACATAAAACACAGTAATGTTAGGAAGTTATGCTTCAATGAACATAGTTCTTCTTAGATCCTTTAGGAGTAATTAGTAAGAAGCCTATTGGACCAATGGACAACACATCGGGCCAAAATGATTTAATAAATTGACTTGAAGCCAACTTTTAAGATCATGAATGGGTGGGCTTTATAACAAAGAATGCAAAAGCTTAGATGAGAGAAAACAACAGTTGCTCAGTTGTTCAGTAAATGAATATTGGATTATTTTGCCATTGGATGATCTTTATGTGACTTCCTGGCTTCATATGATATAACCTTCCTACTTCATGATAGACTTCAAGCAACATTTGCTTGTGACTTTGTCATATGCGACTTTGTGTGACTTTTAACTCTATGTGACTTTATGACCTAATACACTATATATCTAAACATTTTGATTGGCAATCTTACTCATGCTTGATCGGTTGTATAAAGTATTTGACTGCTTGTTAAATGTAATAACGGGACAGCTTTCTGTGAATGCAGTAAGTCAAGATCAACTGACAATTTAAAGCCTTTCTGAAAGTGATAAACCATTTGAAGGCAGTCATCATAAGTTATTCAAGAACTCTCATCATATTGCTAGAAAAGGACTTGGAAAAATGTACATTTCTGATAGGGAATGTATCCTGTCATCAGTGTTTGTTTAAGATTAATTTAATTGAATCACCCTGCATCTGTTGAGGCTTAAGACTACAATACATTTGGACGAAGATAAAATTCTAATGTAGAATGAAAAGCCTGAAATGAGAGATTTACACTATCAAGGCTCAGCAATATGACATTCTTGCACGGAGAAAAGCTATTTAGCAAGGCTACAATCAGCATAAAGATTCCTTTGGGTTGACAAAATAAATAGCAATTTCAGCAACACCAATGACTATCATCATTGTACCACCTATATAATAACAATAAAATAAAGACTCTCCACTATCGACAATTAAGTATGTGAATATATTGTCTTTTACTGAGGAAAGATCAGGTTAGAAAATTAAGAGGATACAAGTCTACAAGTATGTTGGACTAATCAATGTTTCATCTTTAATATACATTATGCAGATGAAAGAAAAAACGTCATGGAAATAACAGAAACATAAAAGATAACTGCAATTATCTAAGCCGCTGTATAAATAACAACTGAAGAATTTGAAAGGGTTTACACAAGGGGTTATTCTACAATCTATGCACATGCCATATGTGTATATTATATTTTGTGCTAATTTGAAAAAACCAACTTTAATATCTTTGAGGATACAAGGCTAAGAATCTTACAGGTTTGACCATTAATGTCCAAGTCGGAATAAAATTGGAAAACGAATTGGAAATATTTAAAGTGATGTAAACAAGAGACGATCTGCTCTCAGTTTAATCCACAAGGAGTAGTCCAATTGTTTTATTAAATTAAGTTGGAAACATTTAAGATAATACATTCACGACTCAACACATCAGTGTTTTCTACTACTGCCTGGAATTGAAAATAAAGCTATAAAGGATATTTGTACAAGAGGAATATGCAGTGAATGTGTTGAACTTTCAACTAAGTGTGAAATAAGTGAAACACGTGAGAACTGTATCTGAGAACATGGGGCAAGACGAGGCCGTAGCCTGGGGCAAAATGAACCACTTCACCGTGCAGAGCACTTCGGTAATGGCTTCATTATATTACTTATCCATGCAGAATGTACATGTTTAACTTGTATGTATTTAATTATTAAATGTAGTTACAATATTTTTTTTATTGTTTCCATATTTTGTGTTATATGTATACGCGTATATGTTGTCCATGTTACTGCAAGTGGTTATTGGTCAATGGTCATACGGTATGGCAATATATCATTTTGTTGGTCAATGGTCATGCAGAATGGCAATATATCATTTTATTCCATCTTAAATGATACACATTTGAATACAGTCACTGAAGCAAGCTATTTATCACAGGCTATTAAGTGCGACCTACTTTCAATTAAGATAGATTAGTCCTCCCGAAGATACCCTGTGTGCAGAGTCTAGTTATGAACTACCCTTTGCCTAGTATAGACTATATTACAGTTTAGTAGCCCCGCCCCAAAGATTGGTGCCTGTGACAGCCCGGGTAATAAATCATTCCTAATTTACAACGCTGACTTTTTCTCAAGCAATCAGCGAAGTTGAAGGAACATAGTGCTAAATAAATGCACATGCTCATTTAATCTATGTGGTGGTTTCAGGGAAAATGACCATATTGAAAGTCATCCACATATCGACGACGAACTCTGATTGGCTTGTTGAGATCAGAGATATGTACATGTATATCTAATTCCAAAGGGGTGTCTCATTTGTGAATATCAACCTAGGTCTCTATGATAATCATTTGGAGGACTATCAGAGATAGTAAATTACAGCATAGGGAGACATCAGTCTTACTATCTTACCCCTCTGAGGCTGTCAGTACCCTTTGCAAGACAGATTGATTTTTGTCTCCCTCTTATAAACTGAATACTGATAAACCTCTTAAATTGATGAATTATTCAGATTATGTTGTAATGCAAAGAAAGGTCTCACTATCATGTAAATATATTGGTGTGGGTCTGATTAGCTCCTTGTTGAATGCCATACTGAAAAATTATCAATCTCAGTCAGAGAGTATTGTTCTAGCCTATGAGCACAGGGTAAATAATCAAGTTATATGACAAGTATCAGAGACAGAAACAAATGTTAGTTTTTAAGAAGTTTTTTATTCTTTATTTCACCACATTAGCCCACTAATTGGAAATATTTATCATGTTATATGTCTTCAAAGCGTATTGCCCAGTTTAACTTTCAGGCTTTCCAAGTGTATGTCTTATTATATTGTGTATTTTATATGTCTTTGGAGGCCCAGCTGATGGGTCAGTCCATAGACCAGGCCTTCCAAGTATACTTCTTAACATATTATGTCTTTATGTATTTGTAGACCCAGCTGATTGATCAGTCTATAGGCCAGGCCTTGGCTCAGTCGATAGGCCAGGCCTCCAAGTGTACGTCTTATTATATGTGTATTTTATATGTATTTCTAGGCCCAGCTGATTGCTCAGTCTATAGGCCAGGCCTTCCAAGTGGCTTATATGGAATTCCTGAGGGCCAATGGAATAGAAGATCCTGGTCTTATGAAAGAGATTGACTACCAAGAAGTCCTAAATCAGCAAGAAATATTTGGTGAAGAGCTCAACTTATTTTCTAAAAAAGAACTTCAAAAAGAGGTGAGTTTAGAGTTATGTAGCTGAATATCGGGTGTCCTAAAAATTTACATTGACATTGGTTATTTTGACATACTGTCTTTAATTCTAAAATACACATAATTTGAGACCAATCTCTTACATATTCATGGCACTAGCAGAAGATATCCTAAAATGCTTCGTGTAACGTTTTCAAAGAATTTGGCATTGTCAAATTGCTTCTCATTTTTGGTACAAACTTTATGAAGTTCTCATTGCGTTGCTCCAGTATGGGATATTATGACATGCTATCTTGAATTTCTTAGTACTCACATAACATTTACTTGATCTTTTTATATTTTTGTACCTTCCTAACGATACTCTTGGGCTACATTGTACAAATTTTCAATGGATTTGGTTGATCAGTTGCCGAGATAATACATTTTTTGGGACACCCAATCTATCTAAGTATTAATTGGGCTCAAAGGTACACTATATTTATAAAAGCATGTCATTTGTCTACATTGTTATGTCACTATAAGAATCTGTGACATACATTCTGTATTGTTAAAGCTGCCAACTTTTAAGTGACCAGCAGTCAGTGGCCTGTGTCTGTAACAGTTTTGACACTTTGTAACCATTTGTTATAACATGAGAATTAAGGGTCATATTGACTTGAAATTCTAACTGTAAACACTTATTGATATGTCATAATTTACCAGAATTTGGCAATACTCGTATAAGTGGGAATTTCTTTACCTAATCATTTAATTTTACTACTGCCTAATTTCTGCCAGGTTTGGAAAAAATGTCAGAAATATTATCTTCATTATGTTATCCAATGGGAAGTTTCTTGTCACTAGGAAAATTAAAATTAGGAAAATGATAAAATTTGACCATTTTGCAAATTAACCACTCGGCTTAAATACCACCCATACAGTATGGAGTCAGGAGACTCAAGGACACATATTTAACAGCAATAATTTATGAGTAATGAGCTATAAAGTTAGATTGACTTGAACTAATATAGTTTAATTAATGCCAGCAAAAATAATATGATCAGCTTTTGGGTAATCTATGTTACCATGGCAATAAATTATGTTCCTGAAACATACCTTTTTACTTAGAAATATTGTTACTTGAAAAGTCATGGTCACACTTACTTATTAGGCATATACTAATATCTATTGGCATGTTATAGACATCTTCAAATTTAAAAGATATTTGTTACCATGGCAATGAATTTAGGGACTTATACTCAGATAAGAGTTTTCAGTCTCTATTACTGTTAACTAGTTGGTGACATTTTTTTCTTTCATTTAGTTGCCTTATTTTGGTTCTGCTTCAATAATGTAAATGTAAATATATCTGATAAAAGATGTCACACCGTATCTATACATTCTCCAGTCTTGTTATACATTTTAAAGATGGAGCTCTACTACAACTAGTGTTAAGAGTTTTGAACCAGTTTTGAACATAGAAAAAATTATTAGATAAAAAAAACTGTCTGGGGTTTCTCCATTTCTTGTTTTAATTTCAATGTTTATTCTACATAAAATGCAAGATTAAAATGGGCAAAACCTCTGACAGAATTTCCCTTTATTAATTTCATGTTCTTGTCTTTACAGACTGGGAACATGTTTGCATCTACAGTCATGTAATGACAATACTTTGGATGATAATCATATCAGCAATATTTAGAACAGATTGAATAACTCAAATCATTCATTATGGTTTAATCAAACGTCCATCCAATGAAAATACAGTTTAGTTTTCCCTTTTGTAGTGCTGTTGCTTTCTTTGTAAAAGTTTCATTTTGCTTCTCTGAAAGAGCTTCATCTTTGTAATAAGTTTCAATTTATTTCTTTGAAAGAGCTTTGTCTTTGTAATAGTTTCATTTTATTTCTTCAAAAGAGTTTTATCTATATCCTAATTTACTAGATATATATATATATATTTTGACTCTCTCAACAATTTGTTACTGTGTCTTCATTTGATCGGTTTTCAGCACTTATCGTAAAGCAAATATAATTTCTCATTTACAAGCTTCAGTAACTGAATCAGTAAAATAACATGTGTAAGAACCAAGATGACATTTTTGTGTCTGAATTAGTCATGTTCTGAAGTCTCTATGCATATCAGTAAATGTTTTCCTTGATTGTATGACATTGTATTAAAAATTATGAATTTAAGCATCTAGTTGAAAGCGCATGATTCAAAGTAATCAAAATTACATGTAATTGATCAATTTTGTTCCTCGAGAAGTTCAAGACACTATTGTTTGATATGTCAAGCCCGTAGCCAGGATTTGCCAAGGGGGGTTCAGTTTTCAAATATTTCCAGGGCAAGGGGGGTTCACATTAGACAATTTTTGCCCAAATATGGCTAAAATAACTTGAGAAGTGCTCAAAATGATGAAAAACTGCATGATTTTGAAAGAATTTTTGGCCAGGGGGGGGGGGGGGGGGTTCGCCTGAACCCTGCAAACCCCCCCCCCCTGGCTACGGGCCTGTATGTTTTGATTTCATCAGACAGTTATCCATGGATATGTTATTACAAGTATAATTTAGTTCCAATTACATATCATATCCTCCTTGAGTTGTTATTCTTTCAGCCAACATTGATTTTTGGACAAAGCTTTAATGTTTTCTGACATTGTGTTGGGCATTATGTTTTTTTATTTTGGCCATCTACAGAGTCATTTAAGTGTGTCTGTTTGATGACTTCTCATAATCTACCTTAAGTTAATCTTAACTTTGTACTTTAGGGATCAGTATATACTCGTACATATACATGTACATGCATAGTGGGGTAGATCCAGGAATCTACATGTAGGTTTAAACCCAACACAGATCAAAAAAGGAAAGGGTTAATAGGCCCCAGAGCCCTAAGATTCAATGCTTAGACTATTGTAGAACATCATTTGTTCCTGTGGAGGAGATTTATCTGCATAAATTATGGACACTATAAATATTGAATTTTTCTCTTAGATGAATAGATTTGTGGTGTCACTTATTTTTTTGCCTGTTTATTGTACATACACTACAGTATGTATAAGCATTCATTCTGATAATCCATGAAAGCAAGTTTTCAATTTCTCCTGCTCTGATGTAACAAGTTTGCAATAAGCCAATACGCGATAAGTTTTTAGTTTAGTTCAGTTTAGTTACCTCACGTTTGAAGAGCTCTCATGAGAGGTACAACTTCGTCTACATCTGGGTTCTTTCCCATTGGATTACACAGGAGTGCAATTTTCAATGCCGCACTACGGCTTTATTAAACATTTATGTAGTGTTGCATTTGCACAAATGATAGATATGTATGTAATCAAGATATACAACAAGGCTTTTGGAACTATAATCCCCAAATCCGAAGAAATGTTTAGTTGGAAATGCCGTCCAATTCCAGTTACGTCACTGATTTCCCACAAAATGGTCTCAGACGCCATTGAAGATCGAAAAAATATAAATATTGTAACTTTGAATCTCCGATTATCTTTCTGATTATTGAATAGATTGGATCATGTACCTATGCTCGAGCGCTGGTGGAATATCGGAAGCTGAGAAACTGTCCTTTTTTCAAGATTCACGCTACACTGTAGTTCTATCAGAATTCGTTGAAATTTTGTTCGAGCAATCTTCCGGCAATATGATGCTATACATATTGCATACGCTATGATGTAATCCTCAACCAAAGAAATTAGCGGATCGTGACCTTTGACTTTGCAATCTCCGGACGTTTTGTTTAGAGTAATCGACTTATTCGGCGGGCCAATGAAAATTTGTACCTTCCAAAGCGATGCATTGTGGGAAATATTTATGTAAATTACCATCTGAACTCTTATCGCAAATATGTCTATTGCTTTTGTTCTTGTTATTAAGTAACCCAAGACAGTATTAAGTATTGTGATACAAGATAAGTTATTCTCACCTGTCTATTTCATATCCTGGCTACACGGCAAACCTATCAATGGCCTTGTTAAATTCTCTAAGGATCAAACACAGCAAGGACCCTTTACAAATTAACGATGTCATACATGTAAGTTTGCTGAGTATGTGAAGGTAATCGTTAATTGCTTTCCCGATTCAGTTATGAAATTTTAATGATTTTTTCTACCATGAATATGAAGAATATTTTGAGTAATACTTTTTGATTAGCATGCCCGTAGCCAGGATTTGCCAAGGGGGGGGGTTCAGTTTTCAAAGATTTTCAGGGGGGGTTCACATTTGACAATTTTGGCCCAAATATGGCTAAAATCACTTGAGAAGTGCTCAAAATTGTGAAAAACTGCATGATTTTGAATGGATTTTTGGCCAGGGGGGGGGGGGGTTGCCCGAACCCTGCAAACCCCCCATGGCTACGGGCCTGATTAGAGATGTTTTTTATTCTTTGTACTTTTTGACATTGGCATTATATGCTGTGAAGATACAAGGGTGATTGAATAGAATTATTTATTAAGTCATCTAGTTCAAAGGAGGAGATAAAAGCCCCGCATGATTAGCGCTTTGAGAAATGTTTTTTCGGTCTTTAACCTTACCACACATTTTGTTCAAACTGAGTGAGATAAAACTCAGAATCTAACAAGGTGGTTGATGGTTACATCACAACATAAATTCTAGAAATCAGCAAACTGAAACTCAAAGGCTATCAGTAGAATTCTATTTTTGTATGAAACTTTCTTGGGCTTCTAATTGGGAAGGCTTATCTAAAGCATCCTTCTTATTGAAAGAATTCAGATGAAACTCTCTCTTTTTACAAAGGTTATAAGAAATCAGGTGTCTATTAAAAATCATCTTTGAAGAAGGAAATAGCTATAAGAAAAAGTGTATTTTACCCACAATTTTGGAAAATATGTGACACTATATTTATTTGTAACATGACTTAATAAACAGAAATAAAAAAAATAAAAAATCATGTTTCTCATCCTGTGCGCAATAAACAGTCTCTGGCTTTCAGATTGCAACATCAAATGGACTCAGTGGGCCCAAATAGAGTCCCCTCAGACTGAAGATGAGCTCACTATGGTAGAACTGCATCTTTGATCG